GGCGCATGATCATTTTTCATTATGTGATAAATTTGCATATTATGCAGTTTATTATTGTCAACGTAAAAAATGGATAAACATTTCGTCAAGAATTGAGACAATTAAATATGCAGAACTAATTAGATCTTTTGTTGTTTGAAAATTTGATGAAAATGGATATGGTCTCAGTGATATAACTGATTTGACTTCCTTAACAATAAATTACTCTTTTATCCAAAGTTAGTTTGAATTTATGTATTTGATTATTACATGAAAATCTCTAAATATAGATTTATTTGGAAGCATTACTTCTTCGATATTTATTGTTTGTAATTACTACTGATTCAATGATTATTCTGCAAGTAATAAATTTCTACTGAAAAGTTATAAATTAAGTCCTACGAAATTTGTTGCTTTTTTATCAATACATTTTAAGCTATGAATAAGTTATGGAAAGAAGTTATAAGTTATAAGTTGATTTTTATGTATTTAAAATTTTAAGCATTGAATTATCTCAATTCACGTATTTGTGCATGCGTTGTCAGCAGTAAACCATTTTTTATGCAAATTTTATAATGAAGTTGTCTGCTTATTACTATTATTGAGCGCAAGTAAAGGGATTAGCTTCTGAGTTATAGCGTACCAGAGAAATTCATCATAACATTTAAAATTTTCAGAATTTCTGCTGTAATATATTAGCAAAGTATTGTAAAATAATGCAATTAAGTAGTGCAAAAAAACATATGCAAATTTTTTAAGAAAACTTTGAATTCCATAAGAAGTCATGCATCGCACACTTTGCTGTATCGTTATTGCTATAAATATTGAAATATTAATGTATATATTTTTATACATTTTACTACTGTATTGGAAAAGTATGGGTAATATAAAGTACGATATGATAAGAAAATGGATGTAATATTTTGCAAGTAGAGGCTAAAAATAAGTAAATCACGCTCTACGTCGCTGTCATTATAACTTGACTCTTAATACAGAAATACTCCAAAATGTTTTTAAAAAATTCACAAGTTTTGAGTATTATATATGAATTAACTATAATTTAGACCTTTTCCAGTGATAAACAACTGCGAGATTTACTTTTGGACTGTATAATACTAGCGAATTCGCAAGTTATCAAAATTCCATAATGCTACTAAATTTTAATTCTATTATGCTACAGTATTAATAATTAGTCAGAAAATATATCCAAAATTATGTGTAATTTATTTTTCCACAAATAGTACAAAAGTAATTAACTGAATGCTTGTTTTTCAACAAAATCACTCAGTAAGTAATTGTGTTTCTTTTTTCTTTTATTTTCACTACTAACTATTGAAATGTAAGATAAAAGTTAGATTGGAATTTGAGCTAAAACGAAAGATTCGTACAAACTCTTAACAGCTGCTATTGCTATGAGAACTTTGTACGAATCTTTTCGCGTCTATTCCAACAATTTCGAATAATTTTGCATTTTCCTGCCAAATTTACTAAGTAATGCTAATAAAATCTTAAATGGTTGATGAATGATTTAATAAATATTTATAGTAGCGATAATTAAATAAATTCATTCCCTCATTCATTCATTTCAAATATTAACAACTGCTGTCGAGTATTACTTTCTTCGAAAATTATTATGTTATCAATGTAAAATTCAAATTATTAATTTGAATATTGCTACTCATATTATTGCTATTTTATTATTACTATTCTACAATCCCCATCACTATTACTATCGTTATCTGTATTTTAATATAACTATTTTCTATATATTATCGCTATTATTATTACTATTCAATCAAAATCATCAATATCTGTGCTATCTATCTATTTATTTTTTATCAGCATTTACTTAATCTTTATTCTAAACAAACACACATTTCAGTAATTTATTTCTTCTATGCTATTTGATTACTGAATTTAACTGAATAATATTTTTGCCTCGACGTTCTTCTTAATTTTTTTTTTGACATGAAAATTATTAGTTATTAACTTTGAGACATTACTGAATAGCAATTTATAAAGTGTCTAAATTTTTGCTGTTTGGTTTTTTTACGACATAAGCGACAATCACTACAGTTTAATACTTCGATTTTTCGTATTATTATTACTTCTGTTGTTGATATTTATTACACGAAAAATGAATAATCTTTTATGGCTTACTGTTTTGTCAATTTTATTTCTATCAATGCCTAAAAGTAATAGTCAAAATCTCGAAAAGTCAAGATCAGTCTGGGTAGAACAAGGCTTATTACGTGGAAAAATATATAAAGTTGCTGATAATTATATTCAAATATTCCGAGGCATACCTTATGCTGAACCACCTGTTGGCCCTCTCCGATTTAAGGTATTTTTTAAGTAATTTATTATTGTTTTCCCAAAAGCAAAAAAAAGTTGTGTAAAAAATAATTGCTATTTTGCAATATATTAAGTCAGTCATTTAAAGTTAAAATCACTCTCAACTTAAGTATCAATCGAAGCATTCAACTTTCTTTAACAATTCAAAATTCAATTCTTGGAGAATTATTTATCACAGTGACTTTTTTTTATTTAAAGGTAATTTTCACAATTTTTATACACTTGAAAAAAGTTTTGAATATAATGTTTTTACTTTTTTCGCACACAAAAGTTTTAGAATCAAGAAAATTTTACACGTATTTTCGTCGAATTGGTCATAAATATGCAGTTTTCTTGGGATGTTAAGCCTAAAAAAGTTAACATGACTAAATTAATGAAATATCATTTAATCATAATCCTTGTGCAATTTAAAAGTCATTTTCTGTTTGACTTTTTTGTACACTATAATATAGTATCTTTCCCGTATTGCTTACAGTATTATACTGAACAATTTAAACATAAAATTACATGCAAGAATATGACCAAATGTTATCCAGACGTTCAGAGGATAATAATTTATTATATTCTTGCATGAAATTTTATGTTTATATTATTCAGTCTTTTATCTGTGATCTCAGATAAAGGGCTGATAGGTAATGGATATCGAATTTCACATAATATAAATATATATTCATTCAATCATTCAATAATTTTGTTATCATAAAAAAATATTTTCAGTTGTAAACATTAGTCTTAAAATTAAACTTTAAGCTTATTATTAAACTGCAATTAAAATCGTAAGTTGTAAAGGATTGAATAACTCGTTTAAATTGATCTAATCGATAAATGAGTATCGGATTAAGGTATAGTAGGATTCTGAGAAATCTAGATATACTGTATAACCAAATATTTCGAGGATTTTTTAAAGTATTAGCAAATATATAATGATAAATATAACCTTATTATTTACTTTTACTATTATCCAACAATTATTTTTCTGTAAAAATTAGAATTTTTTGCTGTTGATACAATTGCTGTTAAGTTGGAATTCACTTTAGC